TGAGCCGAGGCAGGCAACAAGGTAGCTGAATACAGTGAGACGATATATACGACACGAACAATATCAGTTCCCAGACAGTACTACCAGATAGGTTCGGATCCAGCCAAGAGCTTTTGCAGTATCATGCGCCTCATCAGCATCCTTTCTACTACTCCCGTGTTGCAATAGAGTAGCTGCCGCGCCACCCACAACTGGTCCTCCTGAATGCCATGATGGGCCAACCCAGATCGCCGTTACTACCTTCAATAGGTTGCTGCTCTTTAACGCTGGGTATTACAGCATTCTCGCTATCGGCAGTTGCAGGTCCATTAGCATCCTCCACTGGAGTAGTATCATCCTTGTCCATACCACTCCTCAGGGAACTCCCTACGTCTGCTGTTGTTGTTGTTGCTGCTGCCGCCAGAGCAGCGGCCTTCCCGCGGGTCATGATTCCCTCGGTTTGAGCGCCCATTGATGTAGCATTATCATCCTCCTTAGTAGTAGTGTCACCAACCTTGGATGGTGTTTGCTTATGAAGCAGCCGCCTCTCGATGATGAGGCTGCTGTTGTCGGACATCTACGACGAGCAGTAGCCCTTTGAAAAAGTAGTACTACACAAGTACAGCTCAATTTCATGTTGTCGTCAATACACACGGAGAATCACCAATCGTATCGGCTTGACTCAACTCGACAACAACTCATAACATTGAAACTCACAAGAATAATCATGCTGAGAGCTCCTACCGCATGGAAGCAGCGAGCCTGTATGCATCAGACATGATGATATCATCATCAGAATAGAGGCCAAGCTTTAGAGTGGGAACTACACCCCCGTATCACTAGCATCTGAGGCTGGCTCCACTTTATCCTCCCTCTTGGTCTTCCGTAGGTAAAGGCTTGCGTTCATCCCAATACCAACCTTGCTAACAGCGGCGGCAGAGTCCAACAATCTTGTATTCCGTACACAACTATACCTAGGGGCACAGAGTCGAGGGTAAGGGGTTATTACGTACACTACCTACTGTTGGTAGCCTCCGGACTCTGAGGTGACAAACTCGACATGTAAAGAGTGATTAACTTGTAGCAAAGCTATCTGAGGGGCTCTAAGCCACACAACCGTCTCGTCTCCCAGTCCCCTTGGTGACCGCGTCACGTGACGTGACATAGCTGGCTCCGCGCGCCCGCCTCCTGGCGTGCACATGCGCTCGCCAGCGCTCGCCAGCTACACGCCCCCCTCCCCGGGGGAGAGAAGGGACCCCAAATCGAGACGAGAAGCAGCAGTCGGTGAGATATACTTAAGATGATGTAAATGAGTTGGACGGGACTTACGTCCGGTAACTGTACGGGTAAGAAAAACTTTGTCAGAAAGCTGAGCAGTAATGAGACATGGTTCGAATGGTCGAGTATACTTCTTGAGGTGGCCAAAACGGCGACATAACCATATTTCACCGACTTTAGGAACCCGAGGACGACGCGCCACGCCGGGAGTAGTGACTGACGAAGAAGCAGCAGAAACTTCAGCAGGAACCTCGGGACGGTAGGAGCCGTCAACACCAGGATACGGCCACGCAGGAAAAGTGAAGATGAGCTGATGGGGGTTCAAACCGTAGCGACGAACCGGAGCCGTGTTGTAGCGCAGAGTCGCCCGGGACACAAGATGTTTGAAGGCGACGAAAGTGAGACCAGAAGCCACCGATGACCGTATGCGGTCGTTCAAAACGCGGTGCACCCGCTCCACCTTGCCGTTCGTCCAAGAGCTGTTCACAGGGGACCGGCAACCACGACAGCCGGCCCATGTTAACGCGGTGAGATACTCGACCGAAGTAAACTGGGAGCCACCGTCGTGATGCACAGTCCGAGGGAGCGTATTGAAGCGCTCTAAAACGTCCCTAAGGAGTGATGCAGCAACTTGACCCGTAGGCATAGAACGTGTAACCCGAGTTAGTAGGTAACCACTGTAGTTGTCGATCAGGGTAACAACGTAGAGTTGACTGTCCTTGTAAGGGCCAACCACGTCGGTATGCACGCTTTGCCAAGGCTCGGAAGCCCGTGGAGTAATGGTGGTCGGGCGTATCCCAGCCTCAACAGCGGCCGACACGGTAACTTTCCCAAGGCCGCAATCTGGACAGTTCCGCACAAAGTTGCGGCAATACTCACGCAGATCGGGGAAGGAGACCAACTCACGTAGCCTTCCGAAGAGGCTTTGAGAACCTTCATGGTCATGAAGCTCCGACGCCAGAGGATCTAACTCCGCAGTAGTAGTGATGATAAGGCGGCCCTCGGCATCACGGGCAGGACTGGCCAGAGCAGGGACAGCGAGAGATGCCGTAACGCCGAAAGCATCGGGACGGGGGGCACAGTACAGCGGAATGCGACTCAGAGGATCCGCGATATTAGCGTCACTGGCGACATACTCGACACACACGTCCAAGCGCAACTGGGTGACCAAGTCACGTAAGGTACGCAGGCGATGCTCGACCAAGGTAGCATGAAGACCGGAGACGGAACGCCAGTGCTTCTCCAGGTGGCGTGTGACCCACGAGACAGCACTGCGGTTGTCGCAGCAGATTGTGAGTGAGAGTCGATCCGTCCAACGCAAAGCACGGATGTAACGGTCCACCAAAGTTAAGCCCTTCACGAGAGCATCGAGCTCCGCAAGGTTTATATGCCTCGTATCGCCCACGCGACGAAGGTGGGTGGAATCCTCGACCACAATATCACCAATGCACAAGACCGTACCGTAGGCAAACTTACTGCTGTCAGTAAAAAGTCGCCAAGGCCGAGTACGGTCGTAACGCCAATAGCCGCCCACCGGATCCCCACGTGCGTCAATATCCCGCTGGAGGGCGTGGCAGGCCTCCAAGACATGCGGTTCCAAAGGCTCGTCCCAGAGCGATTTGGAACCGTCATGACGAACGCACGCCAAACGCTTCAACGCGGAGAAGGCCGGCCGAGCCCACCCGACCAGCGGATAGTGACTAACGAAGCGTCCCGCCCATGCATGAACGCCACGTCGGGTGAAAACTTCGAGCCGAGGTACTGGGCCGCGACGACGCCAACGCCCATCCCGAGAGCACTGCAAACCAAGGACTCGTGCCTCGAGCAACACCTCAGGAGGCTTAGTCGGGAAGCCGCTCGCCAGCAGAGAGGCGCGAACCTGATCCACAAGGCTAGCTGGAAGGATAATATCATCGAGATATTTGTCGAGGAGCCCCTGATAAGGGGAAAGAGTCCTATCCAGCGCAACCTCCAGCACCTTCGGGGAAATGGCCAAGCCGAAGGGAAGGCGTACCATCCGATAGCCTTCCGGCGACTTCCAACGAAGGCGGAGACCGACGAAAAAGGTCTGGCAAGGGCTCAGGCGGATCTGGAGAAACGCTTTGCGCAGGTCCAGCAGACGTAGCTCCTCGAGAGGTGCCTCAAAAGCACGCCAACGGCGGATGTGCGAGGGGCACTCCACCGGGCCCGCACGCAGCTCATTAGGATAGCTGCTAATGCGGTCATTGAGCCACTTTAGGTCGATAACCGGGCGCACAGGAGTGGATGGCTTATGCTCTTGCGGGATCAGAAGAAGTGGACTGGTGGCCCGAAGGTCGCACAAGGGGGTAGGCACAAGCCAACCCTCAGCAATCCACTCGTCGATGGCAGCCTGCCAAAGACCAATCAGGCGCTGGTCAAACTTCGATGTACCATAATCTGGCGGCATGAGATGACGAGAAGGTATGCCCGAAAGCCATTTCCACTCCACCTCCCAGTATGACGACACGGACGAACTCCGATCTGTGGAAGTTAGCTGGCGGAGGACAAAATCGCCAGTTTCCACAAGGTCACTGACAACAAACTGACCGCCGTCGCCGTTGCGCAAGGAACCCAGCTCGTGCAACCGAGAGACGGGACAATCGATGCCATCCGTAACCTGTACGCCATAATCCCGGGACAGCACTGGTGTCTTAGCTGTACACCCAACCAACGGAGTATACGAGGGGGGAGAAAGGGAGGGAAGGTGAACAAAAGATGGCACCCGCAAGACGGGAAATCCGTCCGGAGGAAAGGACAAGGTAAGAGAGCCGCAGGCACGGACGAAGTCCATACCAAGCAGTCCATCGATACGCAGACCCCCTATCGTAGGCAGGTCACGGTCCAGCAAGAGTACCCGATTGAGGGTGACCCCGCCCAACCCCATGTGAAACTCGCCAACGCAAGCCGTACCCGTAGCAACTCCAGCAATGCCATGGATAACAGATGCATTCCCGTACAACGGACGGGAACCCCTCGAACAGGTAGACGCGGCTCCAAGCCGGCTTACAGCGGAACGAGTAACGAGGGTTAGGGAGCATCCGGTGTCTAAAAGGAACAAAAGCGAGTCGCCCACGCAGCGAAGGACAACCATGCCCCCTACCTGACTGCGTTGAACGCGCGGGCACGCTTTAGCCAGGTGCCCCTTGTCCCCACAAGCAAAGCACTTACGATCAGCCTGAGTCGACGACGATCGCGAACTGGGCAGCTGCGAACGCATAAGCGACTTAAGCATGGTAGCAAGCTGATTCAGCTCGGTAGGAGCGCCGGCACGTCCGTGGCCCTTACCCGAGCCATGGCGGCGACCGCGAGGATGGCCGGCACCGTAGGGGTGTGAGCTCCGAGAAGAGGAACGAGAAAATGGGGGCGCATGGCCGCGAGACCGGTCAGGGCCGGTGGACGAGGTGCCAACCATACTTAACTCAGTGACCTCATCACGCTCCTCTTCAAAAAGAGGACGAGCGGCCTCAACCGAGGCAACCAAGGTAAGGGACCCCGGTGCCTTACCAGCCGTAAGTTGCCCGTAGATGTGTTTGGTCTGCGAAGTCTTAGGGAGACTAGCCCAAAAAAGACTGGCCGCAACAGAATCGCGGTGGACAGGATCAAGGAAGGCCCAGGCCACGGTACACCACTCGATGATGTTGGCCGCCAGCTCGTCTACCGACGGACCAGGCACAGCGGGGTCGTAGGTGCAAGAACGCAGCCTAGCGAGGGCCTGAGGGACCGTCAGGCCGTAGGCCTTGTCAAGGGCCGCCCAAATAGCTTCGACGGCCGCCTTAGGGTCCTGAGGCAACTGGTAAACGTCAATCAAGCGGGCCGCAGGACCAGTCAAGAAGGCCTTGAGCTTGGCCACGACCATAGGCCACGACCAGCGGCGAGCCGCAGAGAGAGCCACGAAACGACGGCGCCATTCCACAAGGCCTATAGTCTTGGGAGCACCCGAAAAACGCTCAAGCTTGAGAGCTTTGTCGGTGGGATCCGCAGTCTCGCCCTCGGTTCGAGTCCCTTCAACCCCGGGGACCTCGGTTTGAGTCCCTCCATCCACGGGGACGTCGGCCTCCTCAAGGGCCATGAAAGAAATCAAGTCGAGAGGCTCAGAGTCGTCCGGAACGAAAGCCGGAGGCTCAGCGAACACATCGCTGGGTCTGGGCACCATGTTGGTAGCCTCCGGACTCTGAGGTGACAAACTCGACATGTAAAGAGTGATTAACTTGTAGCAAAGCTATCTGAGGGGCTCTAAGCCACACAACCGTCTCGTCTCCCAGTCCCCTTGGTGACCGCGTCACGTGACGTGACATAGCTGGCTCCGCGCGCCCGCCTCCTGGCGTGCACATGCGCTCGCCAGCGCTCGCCAGCTACACCTACCCAGCTACTCTCGATAGCAGCAGATCCTGCTATAAGCTATCCATCCCTCTAGCACTGTTATACGATTACCACTCACACCAGCATCGATAACGACCAGGATCAGTTGATGCAGCTGTAGCGGTAGCTGAGTGGTACTTCCCATTTAGGTGTAGTCCGTAAGAGCTCCTCAATCATGCTGTTATCTTCGAAACACTCCACAGTGAGTATCTTATCACAGAAGTGCTCCTTCATAACATCATGGTAGCATAGAAAGTGCTCATACATACCCCACGGCATCACCAAACCGATCCCACAGCACTCCTAACTACACAGCAACTACTTTAGAGTACCATAGTTGCCCTTAAGTAACTGACTATAGTCTCTCCTTCATCAACTAAACACGTTCTAACAATACATTAGCTTCTCAGTAACGTTTCCGCGTCCCCTGTCGGGTGTCCATCCAAACAGCGCACCTTGTAAGAATATCATGCTACCAAAATGATGAAGCCTGCCGCAAGAGTACCTTCGCTCCGCTGTTCAGCCACTCCAATGTTGTGAAGCTCTTACTCCTATCAAACTGTTGGTTGTTGATAATGTTAGAAAGATTATTAGAGTATCTCACCACCTTTACCTCGAAGGACTCAGTATACGGCCAGATAGTGAGTGGAGTACCTGAGAGTCTACGAACAGGTAATAGTAGCTACTAGCATTACTAATAACAGCGAGTGGCATCTTAGTAATCGTAGTGTTGATGTTCCTCCACATCATAGCATTTAGTGTATGGGGAATGGTATTCTTCAAGGACTGGTAATAATAATAACAACAATACTATCGTAGAATTGTATCATCGATATTTCTTAGCTTCATCAAAGCCCCCAAGCCGCCAGTACTGAGTGAGACTTTGCAGCATAAGAAGACCAAGTAGTCTACTTATTATCATCACTGCTTTTCTAGCTTCATTTGAACGCTGGTGTTACAGTAAAAGCTGGCTCCACCAGCATTCTACAGGTTCCTTGTATTTCAACTGTGAACGTGTTACCCTTTCGGGGCAGCGTTTGTGGCAGATGACCCTTCCGCTCGAGTCTGTAATCTGAGAATTTCCTTTCATGCGACTTGATCGAACGAAGGCTCAGTTACAAAATAGCAAAGGAGCAAATAGCAAGAAAGTGCTAATTAGCTGGAATGTATATTCCCTGCGGCTTTTGCTGTTGTGCTAGTGTGTAAAACGCTATGGCTGATATACAGAAGAGCAAAGTAGCAAAATGCACTTTACAAATACGCAAATTTGCCGTTTGTATAACAGAAACTGCTCG